CAACTTTTTTTATATTCAATATATTTCCTATTGAAAAAGAATTTTTATTATATGAATATTTTTATTGAATACTATGTATGGAATGTACGAATAAAAGCGAAAAATCTCGCTTTCCAATCAAATTTTTAAGGATATCGATGATACAATAAATTGAAAATAATAAAGAGTTTGACTTTATGAATGAATCTTCCGATTTGTATGTGGAATGTGTGCTACAATAAAATATTAAGTACTGTTAAGTAATACGTTAAACATAGATTAAGAAAAAAGAACGGAAGAGAATGCCAACTCGGTTTCTAAATGTTAAATCACATCACATGTACCTACATCCTCTTCCTCAAGCCAACCGCTTGAGTTTTCACAACTTTCTTTGATCTCTTACAACACATTATTTTTCTCGGTGCCTACCTACCTCACCAACCAATATCTTCAATACAAAGAACTCTCAAAATTTTTCTCGAATTTTTTTCATTGACAATATGCTTAGTTATTCTTGGTACATGCTTACCAAACTTCTCTACCCGGCACTATTTTTTACAATATGTTGCTAGGCGGGTGCCTAATACCTTCCTAAAAGGTACTATTTCTCAAACCCGATTTTTTCTAAATTGATTGGTGCTTATTTTGGTGTGTAATTCCACTTTAAATGACTGACTTCTTTTAAATCCGTTAGTTATATTTTTACACCAAGGCAATCATGCGACGCAAATGGTGACATCGAAAATGCAAGTTTTGCTTGAGACTAATTGAAGAGAGCTAGTATAAAATCAGTCTGCGTAGGCACCAAGATTGCATAACATGGTAGACTACATCAGTTTGCGGTTTATATCAGTATAGCTCTCCCAGCTTAATTAGTTCTTAGGATGTGATTCTCCTAAACTTATAACAAAGACTAGTTATGGGATTAAAGAGTCTGATTTGTATTCCATCCATCAAGCGGCTGATCCAAACAAAGTTCAAAATTCAAGATTTAATTGCTTGCAAAAGTTCTGCAAGTATATTTATTTGAATATTTTCAGGTAGTGAGAATATTTTTGAGTATTTTGATATACAAACATATATTTATATACACTAAAAATACAACTTAATCTAACAAGACAGCTTCCACTTAAGAATATATACAATTCGAATTATGGAAGTTTAGGATCTGGTTTAGTAACTGCAAAACAAACATAAGAAATTTCCTCAAACTTGATATATTCTCAGAAGGGTTTCTGCACAATGCTTGAGAAGTTCAAATACATATTGAACTGTCAAAACACTGATCACATGACAAATGTACAAAGTTATATGTGAAACAAATTTAAGAACTGGTGCCACCAGAAAATAGGATAACCAATATCCAAGTCACCCATTCAGTTAACACTTCTTGCAGCCGAATGCCAAGCAAAACCAACAAATGTAATTCACAAAATGCTTCTTTGGGGTGCCTAGCTCAGTTTCTTTTATCCCATGTGCAGCAATCTTTGCACGAAGGACACGCCAAGGCTGTGTGTGGAGAGGGCGGCGAGGGAAGACTTAGAAAGCTAAAGGAAACCAAAACCACGAGACCTCATACCGATATGGATTGGCCAGTAACTGAATCATGGAGATGTAAAGAATCATCGTTCACTAAAGTTGGGGCTTAAACTCTTGAATCTCTCTATCGAATACTGCGTAAATGCTTTTTCTCCAGTCAGTTCCC